GCCAGGAGGCAGACTTGCAGAATGTGCCCTTTGGAGGTGTAAATTATTTTATATGCCTGAGTGGTGTTTTTTTTTAAAGATAAAGTAAGTAAAGAGAAATACTGTTAAAAGATGGTACATGGAGGGGATTATAATCATTGTAATAAAACAAGGTGTATGATTTGTTTAATTTAAAACTGCTGATCTGCCCTGTAAACTTTCACTCAATCCACAATAAAAACCTTAAAAAAAAAAAAAAAAGAAAAGAAACAAGATGGAAGTAATACATAGAGTCACTGTCCCAAAAATAATTTGTTGATATTCAGTCATTTCAGGAGACAGCATATAATCAAGAACCAATAGTATTAAAGGAAAAACTCTAAGTTGTACTGATGGCATTGCTGAAAACTAGGCTCCAGAATTGACAGAACACCAATTAAGAAGTTTCAACAAAGGAAAACACCACTGGAAGCACTTACTTGTCTGTGCCAATACATCTGGAAGAGAGTTACATGAACAACTGACTAGAAGAGATCCATATTTGAGCCCATTCTGAAGAAAGGGTGATCCAACAGAATATGGAAATCACATGAAAGTAAAATTTTGCTACTGATTGTTCAAAAACATTTGCTGAGTCGTGAGTCAGTAAGCAGGAGGCTGTTCGGTTGCAGGAGCAGAGCAATTCTTAAATCAAAGGAACTTGTATCTACAAGCTCATCTGGAAGTGATTCTGATAGTGAAGTCGACAAAAAGTTATAGAGGAAAAAGCAAGTTGCTCCAGAAAAACCTGTGAAAAAGCAAAAAACTGGTGAAACTTCAAAAGCCTCTCTTGTCCTTTAAGCAGAGCAACAGAAGCAGAGATGATAATATGTTTCAGATCGGGAAAATGAGGTATGTCAGTGTTCGGGACTTGTGTTTGGGGCTTTAAGGCGAAAGTCCTAATTATTAGTGAATATTGGATGGATCAGGAAGGTGAAATGAAACCAAGAAGAAAAGGTATTTCTCTAAATCCCGAGCAGTGGAGTCAGCTTTTGAAGGCAAAGATTTCGGACACTGATGACGCAATAAGGAAACTGTAACATCAGAGCCATATCCGACCCTACTGCTCTAGTTACTTTAACCTGTCTGTTTACATTGGCTTTTGTTTTCTAACTGTTGTTTTCCATGCTATTGTATATTTGGATTGCAGAACAATTTGTAAGATGAATACTTTTTTTAATGTGCATTATTAAAAATGTTCTGAGTGAAGCTGAATTGTCAGCTTTATTAAGGAGACTTGCTTGTGCCCACTAACCTAGTGTAAAATAAAGTCAAGTAACAAAAAAACAACAACCAACCAAACATTTGCAACAGCAAGTCAACAGGGAGCTGCCAGAACTTCAGCCTGGATTCAGAAGAGGACATAGATAGAGGAATGTCAGTGCTAATGTCAGATGGGATTGTGACTGAAAACAGAGAATACCAGAAAGACGTTTACTTGTGTTTTATTGATTTATGCAAAGGTGTTTGACTGTGTGGAGAACAAACTATAACAAACTATGGATGAAGAATTCCAGAACACTTAATTGTGCTCATGCTGAACTTCTACATATAGCAAGAAGCAATAATTGGAACAGAACAATGGAATACACTATGTGGTTTAAAAATCAAGAAGGTGTGCACCAGGGTTATGTCTTTTCACCATACTTATTCATTCTGTATGTTGAAAAATTATCCAAGAAGCTGGACTATATGAAGAAGAATTTGGCATTAGGAATGGAGGAAGACTCATGAAAAATCTGTGATATATAGATGACACAACCGTGCTTACTGAAAGTGACAAGCACTTGAAGCAATTATAGATGAAAATCAAAGTATGAGTTATACATCAGTGCAAAGAAAACAAAAATCCTCACAAGTGTACCAATAAAAAACATCACAATAAACAGAAAAAAAAAAAAAAAAATAGAAGCTGTCAAAAAAGACTTCATTTTGCTTGGATCCACAATCAATATTCATGGAGCAGCAAGCCAAGAAATCAGAAGATGTATGCAGGGTAACTTGGATCCTGGCTACCCAAAATGGGGGAGGGGAGCTACAAAGGCAAGAAGTGACTGGCTTACAAGCTTTCAAGAGGGAAGCTAAATTCATAGGGCGTGGAGGAAGGTAGACTCGCCACTGAGTAGTATACAATCTGCCTAGGCGGGGCTGATGAAATGAAATCCGGATGGATCTCATAATACAATAGTGAATAATTGTTATCTGGACTGCTTGTGAGGGTTGGAATTGTAAAGGTAGACATCTTTTAGCAAGGAAGGGAGTGATTAACTTTTCAGCCTAAGAGTGGAGGTCCCTGAGACCATCAAGGGAGAAGAGTGGAGAGCGGGACCCTACCCAGAGAAGCAGTGATGCCTGAGATGGGGGGCGGGCAGGCTTGCAGTGTATACCCTTTGGTTGGCTGATGATGCATGGAGGGGATGGTAACCATAGCAATGAAATGATATACTATAGGATGAATGTAAGACTAATGTTCTCCCAAGTACACTATCACATAATTCACAATAAAATATTAAAAAAAAAAAAAAAAAAAGATGCATGCATCGAGCAAATCTTCAAAAAAACTTTTTTAAGTGTTGAAGAGCAAAGATGTTACTTTGAAGACTAATGTATGCCTGGCCATATGCACGTGAAAGTTGGACAATGACTAAGACCAGAAAAAGACTGATGTATTTGAATTACGATGTTGATGAAGAACACTGAAGGTACCATGGACTGCCAGGAGAAGAAACAAATCTATCTTGTAATAAGTACAGTCAGAAAATTCCTTAGAAGCGAGGATATAGCAATTTTGTCTCACCTACTTTGGACATGTTATCAGGAGAGACAGTTCCTAGAAAAGGTTATCAGACTTGGTAAAATAAAGGGTAAGAGAAAAAGAGGAAGGCCCTCAACAAGATGGACTGATGCAGTGGCTGCACCAGCGGGCTCAAGCATAATGATAATTGGGAGGATGGTGAAGGACTGGCGGTGTTTCATTCTGTTGTGCATAAGGTAGCTATGAGTCAGAGCCTACTTGATGGTACCTAATAATAACAACCAGTTATAATAATCAACAACTAGCCCAAAATTTCAAGACATGAGGGGCTCTTCAAAACGTTTGGGAGGAAATGAATGAAAAGATAATGGAATATGAAAGTTTTTTTACATAAACTTTTTGAAGTCCCCTGTATATTTATATATTCACCACTCATTATTGAGTATCTATTTGCCAAATATATTGCTTAGACATTGGACTCACAAAAATACTTAGAAAAAAATGTGACTGTTACACCTGGATCATTGATCTAAATTGATGCCAATTTGGTTTATGGGAAATCTTCACTGTTTTTTCCACAGGGAAGTTAAACTCATGTGCTCTGCTACCGTGTTCCCAGTTCCCAGGATTTTTCTACTTAGGACACTGACTTTTACTCCAGACTTTGTCATTTTGAAGAGGATCATATGTATAGTGTTTCTGATACAAGATTGTCTATGCTATCACAAAGTCATATTACTGTTACAAATGCTACAAAATCATTGGATAACTAACTATTCGGATAATGGTTACAAAATGTCCAATGGTGAAAATCTAGAACACTTTATACTTTTTTAAATATGAAGGGGTTTCACAAAGTTCAAGGAAAATTACATAATATCTAAAATCCATAATTTTTGAATTTTTTGAAGTCTCTTCGTGTGTTCGAATTCAGAACTGATCTTGTAAACTGCTTACATGCTTCATGTCGTAAGTTAAAACATTTATAAACTTGCATTTGCTTATTGTTTTATTTTATTTTTTTGTAAATATCCACCCTGACTGCTCTATCACACTTTGGATATTTTGAGGAATTCATTTGTACCAGAATATGTATATAGATAATCTATTATGAAATATAATTTAATATTTATTTTTATAATTATTTATTGTTTACAGCAGTCATAGGCTGAGCCACATACCTGGTCTGACTGGAAAGACAGCCACCGGTAACTTTTTTTTCAGATCAGTGGAAGGTTATCAGGAAGTAGTTTTGAAAACAAGAGCTGTGTTGATGGAGGAAAGGGACCCATTCTTCTTTTTCCCACCTGATGGAATGATATGGCAGACTATCCATTGCTAACCCAGAAACTACAAGCTCATGGCAATAGTTCATCTCACAGATGACTGTCTCCAGGAAGGCTTCCTTCTCTCCAGCTGAGCTAGTGCTACAACAGCCCTCAGGGAAACAGAATCCTGGTGTAGACTCACTACTTGTTGGCTATGTGCTTCTTAAGGCCAAGGACTCTATCTTTCCCTCCTCTGTTCTAAACCACATAGTGCAATGCCTGACAAATATGTAGTTATCCAATGCATACTTGTATGTATAAATAATTGAATGAATGTGGCATGATATAAGATAACATGACAAGAATATAAGTAGTGAAAAGTAAGTTCAAGATCCAAGGTACTTCCTCAAATAGTGGCTACTAAGAGTCCTGGTGTGGCACTGTAGGTTAAAGCACTGGACTGCAAGGTTGGTTTGAACTGCAAGGTCGGTGGTTCAAACTCACCAGCTGTTCCTTGGAAACCCTATACAGGATTGTTATGAGTCGGAACCAGCTCGATGGTACTTAACAACAACAACAATAGGAGAGTTCAGCACTAGTCACAGTTACTAGAAACTCATTCTTTGGGAGAACAGAGGTAAGAGTAAATCCATCTCTAGTGAAAATATTTGATACAAAATTAACACAGAGAGGTAAAAAGCACATACTCATATTTCCTTTCAGAGGAACTTTTTTCCGTTGATGAAGAGAGAGATGGAGGCATTGGGATAAGGAGGAGAAAGCCAGGCAAGAGGATGGAAATATTCAAATAAATCTCCTAAGAAATAGAGATGCCTAAGCTAGTCACAGAAGAAATCCTTAATAGTTTTTAAGGTGATACATTTTATGGGTAATTTAAAACATAAGTATATTTATGAAAATTTTAGTAAATATTTTAATTGAGTTTTTCTTTACCGTACCTTCACATGCAGAAGTTGGTTGTCAACTGCTATGAGCTGGTTAAGGTTCTCTAGCACTTCTAAGTCTCTTACTTCATCAATATTGTTATTGCTGATGTTTAATATAGAGAGGGATTTCTGTAGAAAAAAAACCCAAAATCAGCATATTAAGGTGTCTTTAAATATGATATATAAAACCAATAGCCAAACCTGCTGTCATCAAGTAGATTTAGACTCATGGTGACCCCATGTAAAGGAACCAGAAATCCCATGCTTACTTGTACAGCTAGATATTTATAAACTCAGGTTGTTCTCGTTAGACAAGAAAATTAAAAGGCATGGGAATTTTATTTACATGTCATTTTTTTCAAGAAGAAAGAAGAAAAGAATGGCAAAAGATATCCCAATAAAGTAAACAAATGATCATGGTTTTTAAAAATGCTTGTTAGGTTGCTTTTGTTAAGTGCTGAGGTGGTTTCAACTCATAGTGACCTGTTATAGGGTTTCCAAGGAGTAGCTGGTGGGCTTGAACTGCCAACATTATGGTACATAGTCCAGTGCTGATCTTTAGGCAAATGATAATTTTGTGTTAAATGTACTTAAGATTTGGACTTATATAAGAGAAAATAGTTTTTAATCTTTATTTTTCTAAACAGGAAATAGACCAAGAATTAAAGAATTGCTTGCTTTTATTTTTATCTCTACCTCTACATGATGCTTTCTTGATAATCTATAAATTCAGAAGCCACTTAAAATAAGAATTCATTAGATAACAAGTAGAAGTCGATGCTAGTTGTTAATGAGGACAAAGATACACAATACAACAGCACTAAACTAAAGCAGTCTTCAAATGTGAGGCCTAGGAGTCTCTACAAAGATGGGAGTCCATCCACTGAGGGGGCCACACACAGCCAATCTTCAGAGAAGATGCTTCCTAAAGCATTTTAAGATTTGAAAAACAACTAAAAAAAGAATGCCTTTGTACTTAGAATTTCTGAATCTATTCAAATCAATGCAGAAGTTGACCCAGCAAAACCTTTTCAGTGGTGTTTTATAATAAAACCAGTCATCTCCACTCCAGTGGGTCATTCTGCTCGGATCACTTGAGGTCCAGCTGAGATTGTGACAGGGCTTTATGGGGAGAGTAGAGGAAAGATAGAATGAAAACCAGGCCACTATTGCTTTTCCAGTTTAAATCACTCAATTGTTATGAATTTGGTTAAAAAAAAACTTTCCATTTCCTTTTGTTTCTATTCCCTCTAAAATAAAACAAATGAGATTTGTGAAAACACCAACCACATCTCATTTATGTCTTTAAAAAGGGAAACTAGTAATTCTGACTCATGTGTGCCAGAGTAGAACTGTGTCCCGTGGTGTTCTCAATGGTTGATTTTTTGGAAGTCAGAACTTTCTTCCACAGTGTTCTGACTGGACTTGAACTGTCAACCTTTTGGTTAGTAGCTGAGTTCTTTAACTGCTTGTATTACTAGGGCATTTATGCCTAACTGCCCCAGAACTGAAACCAGTCTATCTGTAGCGAATCAAATTCTCTAATATGGTCCCTTTAGTCAGTGCATAGTCTTGTAACTCCCACACAATGACTGGGTTATTATTAAGAGCCATTGAATCAGTTCTGACTCACAGTGACCCTGTATAGGGTTTCTGAGGAGTGGTTGGTTGATGGGTTTGAACTGCTGACCTTTGGTTAGCAGTCTAGTGCTTATCCTACAGCACCACACCAGGAATCTAATGATTGGGTGGAACTATGCAAATAAGGTACTTGTGGCCCATCAAAGGGATTGGATAGCATTGCTAATAAGGAAAATAAGGTTCATGGAACCCCTGGGGGTGGGGGGAGAACTATGCAAATAAAGTGTATGGAACGCTAACAAGGAGATTGGTCAGTTTTGCCACTCTTGTTGTTGTTGTTGTTAAGTGCTGTTGAGTTGGGTCCGACCCATAGCAACCCTGTACAGGGTTTCCGAGGGTGTAAATCTTTACGGGAGTAGAAAGCCTCATCTTTCTCCGGCGGAGCAGCTGGTAGTTTCGAACCGCTGACCTTAAGGTTCGCAGCCCGATTCGTAACCACTACGCTACCAGAGCTCCTCTAATAGGCTTAAAAAGAAAGCCAATTTGAGAACAAGGAAGGGACCTCACTACCGTCAAGAGAGAAGAGTAGGGTAGAGTGTGTCCTTTGGACTCAGGTACCTTGTACTGAAAATGTCCTAGATCCAGGGGACAGAGAGTAAAAGCCGTGATGTCAGAGACAGTGCAAGATGGTGAGAAGCAATGGCAGAGAAATAACAGCAGCAGAACCAAGACTGGGGTGAGTCAGTGTGGTGGGCTTGCCAGCCCATGTAATGAAGTATCTAAAGTGTGCACAGAGACCTGCAGAGTGAGAGAGCTAACAACCTTCAGTCAGGAAATTAGCTGGTGGAGTGGAGTGCTGATAGGCATTTATTGGCATAAAGAGCTTTGTAACACTTGCCTGAGACAGGCAGAGGCCCCAACCAAAGGCTTCTCCTGAGGAGGCTGAAGGAAGCCTGTCCTCACAGCACCTAAAGAAGCCTGCCATCAGGGATTCCAGAGGAGCCTGTTCTCTGGGCGCTGAGACAGCACTGAAGAAGGGAGACTGCATGCTTCCTGACCCTGATCCCAAGCTGTACTCTGTTACTTCTCTAACAAATCCCATAATCATTTGCATTATGTGTAAGTTTGTTGTGGCCATTGAAATAAATCATCAAACTCAGCAGAGAAGTAGAGAGTGCATGGGAGAGATGGCTGATATCAGAATTGATGAGAAGGCTGGAGGATGGAAGTACCATTGAGTCAGTCCTGACCCACAGCAACCCTGTACAGAGTTTCCAAGGAGCAACTGGTGAGCTTGAACAGCCAACCTTACAGTTCAAACTGGCTTTGTAGTCCAGTGCATTAACCTGCAGTGCCACATCAGGGCTCCAAGCTCTCAAACTAGCCAGATATATATGCAGGGTATTTATTGTGTCCAAATATACCTTCACCATGTTCCTGTTCCATTATAGCATGACCATCACTATACTCCTTGTCAAAATACTTAAACCATTCTTACTGACAGAGAATGAAGAGTTCTTGGATCAAACAGGAGCTTTTCTCCAAGGGGAAGTCTCTGACTCTCAACGTGAACCTCTCTTAGTTCTTCTAATCCTTCTAAACCTTCTATGACAGCAATGTAATTACCACCCAAATACCTGAAAAACAAAGACAAAATTCACAGCATTTTGCAGAATGTAAACATGATTTTAAAAACATAATAATAAAAGTCATTGAGTTATACTAAAATTACATAGGCAGAATGTTCTGTTTATATTGAATCCATGAATGGTTCATCTGAATGACTGTACATTTATTCTTACACTTCATTTAGTCTAAGAAATCAATTTTTGTCTTTGTTTTTAAGTGAGAGAGGTGACGTGGTCATTATTAAACTCTGTTATCAGTGTTTCGCAAATGTTAGGATGCACAAGAATCACTTGAGTTGTATTTTATGTTTTAGAATGCCAATTTCAGGACTTAACCTATAGGGATTCTCATCTGCAGGTCAGGGTTAGAATATAGTCATTTTTAATAATCATTGTCCACCCACTCTCGTTTTCCCATTGTGAGGCCTTTGAGCCACTTTTTAAGAAGCACTGATAGTTCATCCAATTTGGGGAAACTAGATCCACCAGTGTTCATTGTCTAATAATAATAACCATTAAATCAACAGCAACAAACTCACTGACATTGAGTTGGTTGCATCTTATAGCAATCCTAGGTGCGCCACCATAGGATAAGTACTCAACCTCAAAGTTGGTTTGAATCATAAGTTCAGCGATTCAAACTCATCAGCCGCTCCCCAGAAACACTATACAGGGTCACTATGAGTAGGAACCGACTTGACAGCACTTAACAACAACAACAACAAAGGACAAGGTTGTAAATCTTTGAGGAAGCAGACCCCCACTTCATCCTCACAAAAGGGAGATTTTCTGAGAGCAAGGGTAATACAGAACAAAAAAACCCAGACTTGTCTCACAAAATCCATGTGAGAATCAGACTATTTCATATTTAAATTATGTTTGGAACTTAATGAAGATAATGGGAATACCTGTGTGCATAAAATATAAGTATTATAATGATGATGACTATTTACTGCAAGATGGACAGTTGAAATCGTCCAGCTACTTCATGGGAACGATGTGGCTTTCTGCTTCCATAAAGACTGACAGTCTTGGAAACTCTGTAGAGGGTCACTGTGAGGTGGAATTGACTCTATGGCAGCAGATTTCCTGGTATAATTATGGTAAACATTTACATTACTAACAACAAAAGCACTTACAGTTTTTCCAGTTTCTTTAATGATCTGAGGTTCTCTATACATGAAATACAATTGTTTTGTAGGTACAGGTGAGTCAGATTTGTCGCACAGTTCAAATTACTGATTTGACTAATACGGTTATCATATAAATACAAAACACTAAGATTTTTGCAAAGAGAGAGATCTTCCTAAAAGAAAAACAAAAAATATATATATCACATTTTATTTCTCCTGAAAACTTTGAAGATTTTTTTAAGAAAGTTTTTCACTTTATCATTCTGTAAATATATAATAGAACTGCATTTCTCTGTTTTTGTTGGTGTTGGGAAGTGCTGTGGAGTCAGTTCCAACTCATAGCGACCCTGTATAGGTTTCCAAGGAGTGGCTGGTGAGCTTGAACTTCTGACCTTGCTGTTCAAACCGACCTTGCAGTCAGCGCAAAATTATAGAACAATTACAAAATCAGTTCGAGTCTCCAGTGTTCTGAGGTGGTGTTAGTAGTGGTTATGTGCTGTGACGTCGGTTCAGACTCATAGCAACCCTACATAGAGTTTCCATTTACAGGGGCAGGAAGCCTCATCTTTTCTCCCGCAGAACAGCTGGTAGTTTTGAATTACTGACCTTGGAGTTAGCAGCTGGACTTGTAACCCCCTATGCTATATAATTCACTGTGGGTTAATGTGCTGGACTGCAAAGTCGGTTTGAACCACAAGGTTGGTGGTTCAAGCTCACCAGCAGCTCCTCGGAAACCCTATACAGCTCCACAGTGCTTAACAACAACAAGAAGTTATATAAATAAAATTGTACTTGTTTAAATGATTTTCCCAGTGCAAAGTATTTTAGTTGGAAGCAATTAGGATCTTCTGGAAGTTGTAGCATTTAACAAATGATTGCTCCAGTGTTATAAATCAAACTTTACCTTTCTGTAGAATTGGAAATAAACTGTCTTGGTTTATAATGCTGAAAAATTGGAAGTCATCTAAATGTTCAAGAATAGCTGACTAACAAAGAACCTATGATATTGCTATAGAAGGGAATATCATGTAATCATTAGTTTCTTTAGTAATATCAATATGATATGTAGATTCCATAATATATAGTTACATGGAAATAGTAGCCCTGGTAATGTAGTGAATTATGAATCAGGTTGCTAACTACAAGGTTTGCAGTAAGAATCTACCAACTGCTCCATGGGAGAAAGATGAGGTTTTCTGTTCAGATTTACAGCCTCTGAAACCCTATGTGAGCATATGATTGCTATGAGTTGGAAGTGATTACACAGCACACAACCACCACCAAAGTTATGTGCATAAATGCCTAGAAAAAAAGAGTCGAAAGATACCACTTAAAAGTTAATAGTGGTTCTCTCTATGTGGGAGGATTACAGGTCAATTTGTTTTATACAAATGAATACCACTTGCTTTTCAATCAAAGGCATTTTGTAAAAGTTGCCATTTTTGGTGTGCTGATAGAGTACGCCTAAGTAAGGAAGAAAGAAGTAGAGTGTAATTCTGTTTAAAAATATCTCAGCCTTCACTGAAGTAAGAAAATACAGCCACATCTTGAGAATTTTCAGTTTACAAGTCTTTCATGTGAATTACTATAAGCAGTTTGCTTTTTTCCTATGAAGGACCATTCACTTGAAGAGGCGATTGGTTAGTGTGAGTCCTTAAAGGGGATCTTGGGACATCAGAAAGCCCTATGATATGATGAGATGAAGAGCTCTGAATAACAAAAAGACAAATACTGGGGTTTGGGCAATTGGATTTTCAGGGAGAAGGATCACCAGGAAATAGAAGAGGAGCAAAGAATGGGAGTTGGACTGGACTCTGCAAAACAAGCATTGTGTAATTGACAATTTTGCGGGGTGCTTTGTTGTTTCATTTATTAATTCCCTCATTCAACAAATACCTATAATCTCATTGTATGAGTTAGGCACCAAATTGGATGGGGGATTTAGAATGATATGAATTTACAGTAATCCCTGTTTCCAAGAAAGCTTCTCTCATCTATAGATTTTAGCATTTTAATGTAAACATTGAATGCTAGTACAAAGGATTGACTTTAGAGTTTGAAATCTGAAGGCTTTTGCCTGTGAACAACTCCAGCAAAGCTTAGTTCCATCTTCTGCCTAGTTTTAAGTGTTCAGATGCCAATTTTTCTTGAGTACCTCATGCACCTCTGGCAGCCAAACTGCCAATGCATATTTAAACACGGGTTGTGGGCCATTTCCCCCAGCTGGCTCTCACAGAAACGTTCCAGGGCATTCCCCTTAATGACTGCCTTAAAGGTCACCTGGTTGTGATGTCATACCCTGAGAGCCTCAAAGCTTTCTGGTCTGTAGTAGTTCCCTCCCTGCTTCCCCAGGCTGGCATACACAGGGGTTACTCTGTTGCTGTCAGTTGGCGTTGTGGGAGATTATTTTATTCTCTGTGCCCTTTAAAAGGTCACCTTGGGAAAGGAGAATTTTGGAAAACTCAACACGACTTCATATTGATGATTTTCCTAATCTGGGTGATCTGTGTTTGTCTTGTTTTGTTTTTACTTCTGTTTAAGATTTAATTAAGTGGAGTCCTGGTGTGCCCCTGTGGGCTAATGCCTCAGACTGCAAAGTTATTTGAACTGCAAGGTCAGGGGTTCTAGCTCACCAGCTGCTCCTTGGAAACCCTATACAGGATCACTATGGGTCAGAATCGACTCGATGGCACTTAACAACAACAACAGCATAATATCCTAGTGTGGCGCTGTGGATTAATGCGTCAGACTGCAATGCCATTTGAACTGCAAGATAGGTGGTTCAAGCTCACCAGCTGCTCCTTGGAAACCCTATACAGGGTTGCTATGGGTTGGAACTGACTCAATGGCACTTAACAACAACATAATATTTATAGATGTGAAGATGGAGTCTCTTTTCCACCGGAACTGGTTATGTTGTTGTTTAAGTGCCTTCAAGTGGGCTCTAATCCTAGATAGACTTTCCAAGGAGTGGCTGCTGATGAGCAGTCCAGTGCTTATCCTACAGCACCACCCCAGGATTCCAGAATAGGTTATAGCAGTCTTATAAAATTGTTCCAAACTAAAGCCAAGAATTAGCTTAGCATTGAGAAAATGCAGTTTCAGAGTATATCAAAATAAACATAATCTTCTTAGATGTAGCTAATCTAGTATAACATGCATTTACATAAATAGTTCAAGTATGAGTAAAAACTACATCACTGTTAAACTTTTGAAATATGATATTCACATAGACTAACATTTTGATATGTAAAAAACAAAAAAAAACATATTCCAAGGATTCAGAATCATGCACATTTAGTTAACTTTGAAATTATTTCCCCAAGTATGATTTCAAAATTAGTATTTTAGGGAAGTGATAATGTATATATGATTTAACATATAGATATTTAAAAGTCATGATAGTATATTTTCTAAAGACTAACCTTCATCACTGTTTAATATCCATGTAGAAAATTAAAATGAAAATACAGTACAAAAACTTATTAGTTAAAATGGAGTTATAAATATAATAAAAATATAGTTAGTAAGGTATGCCCTCATACCAATTTATAAACTTTATATTGTTGCTTATATAAAAGTGGGAAATAAATTTAGAGCTCTTACAATTGTATCTATATTCCTATCTGAAAAATTTATATGAGTTATTTTCCTGAGGTACTGTGAAATGGTTTCTTCTTTTCGGGGCTTCCAATTGCTGTTTTTTGCAATTAGATCCATGGTCAGTCGAACCATGATTCTTCTATAAGTCAAACCTGCAGCAATGCGTCTGTTCTGATACAGTGTCAAGAAGCAGGTTTTGGTATGGCTCGTCCCCAACTTTCTAGAAATTAAAGGAAGAAAAGAACAATTATAATATCACATAGCAGGTTCAAGAAAAAAAAAATTATTTTGGGTTTAAAATTTTCTTATATAAAACTATTTTCTAAGTTTCTAGGCTTTTAAAAGGGACATATGGAATTTTTTAAAGTTTATAGACTTAATGTTCTCTATAAAAAGATTTTAAAACAAGAAAAGTAATTAATAAAATTCATTCATCTTTTTTTTTTTACTTGTGAAAATTCACGCACTTTTACTTTTAAATGTTTTCCTCTCCTTGAGTAGTATGGAAGTGTTATCGTAGAACATCTTTTTTAAAAGAATTTATTCTTTTATTTATTCTGTTGTTGTTGTTAAATGCCATTTAGTCGATTCTGACCCATAGCGACCCTGTATAGGGTTTCCAAGGAGCAGCTGGTGAGCTTGAACCACCACCTTACAGTTCAAATGACTCAGCAGTCTGATGCATTAACCCACAGCGCCACACCAAGACTCCCTCTAGGAATGTTGTCCACTGTTATCATTGCACAGGCAAAGAAATACAGATCCAGAGTTTTGTCTTAAACCATTTAAGCTAGTGGCAGTTGAGAATGGAACTAGGCTTCCTGTCTCCTCTTTCATAATACGTATGGTGAACCTATTTCTTAAACCCGAGTCAGAGCATGCAATCTCCAGCATCATTTCTATCACCAATGTTATATTTTCCAACTGCCTTCCTCTTTGTTTATTTATTTTATTTATTTACTGACCTTTCCTCTTTGTTGCCTATCTTTACATTTTAGTTACCAGTAATTACTCAAGCGTGGCAACAGCAGTGAGGTTGGTTGGCCCTGGATCCTGATCCGGCTGTGTTTCATTCTGCTGTGCATAAGGTCGCTATGAGTCAGTGGCACCGACTCAATGGCACCTAACAACAACAATACCAATTATCAATATGTCTTGATTGCATGTTTGATCAATTTCAGACTGAAGAAGTTGAAGAATTCTTCAATTTCATTAACACTGGCTTTAGTGGTTGATGCATAAATTTGAATAATAATGGGGTTACTGGTCTTCCTTGTATGGATATTATCCTGTCTGACACAGCATTGTATTTCAACATAGATCTTGAAATGTTTTGGGTTGTTTTGTTGTTGTTTTTTTGATGATGAATGCAGCATCTTGAATCTGTCATTTCAGAAGTAGAAGACCATTATGATTGTTAATTCAAAAGAGCTAATAACATTTCAGCTCACTAATGTCTAGGGTAGCATCAAAAAGAACATAAAAGGCACTTATACACATGGTCCTCACCTCACAGAAATCAAATTGACTGCAAATGTAGAAAGAGATGGTGGAAAACTCAATATCATCAGCCAAAGCATGACTATGGGCTAACTGTGGAACAGACTATCAATTACTTATATGAAGCTGAAAACAATTAAAGCAAGTTCACAAAAGCCAAACCATGACCTTGAATATTGTTGTTGTTAAATGCTGTCAAGTCGCTTCTGACTCACAGCAACCCTGTATAGGGTTTCTGAGGAGTGGCTGGTGGACTTGAAATGCCGATCTTGCAGTTCAAACCAAACTTTCTGTTCAGTGCTTATCCTGAATATATCCCACCTAAATTTAGAGATTATCTCAAGAACAGCTTTGATGCATTAGACACTGATGACCAAAGACTAGAAGATTTGTTGGGTGACATCAAGAAGATCATACAAGAAGAAGAAAGCAAAAGGTTATTTTAAAAGGCAAGAAAGAGAGAAAAGACAAAAATCAATGCCAGATTTGATGAAGGTGACCTATATCAATGGATGCAGCTCAAAAGAGGAAACAAATCTTTACAGCGAGGATGATTCCCACCCCCTACATACACAGGGTAGACAGGAATGGGCAAATTGGACATTGGCCACCCAAAATGGGGGACAGGGCTACAAAGACAAGAAGTGACTGGCTTACAAGCTTTCAAAAGGGAGCCTAGGGCGTGGAGGAAGGTAGAATCTCCACTGAGTAGTATCCAGTCTGTTTGGGTGGGACTGATGAAAGGAGATGGGGATATGTCTCTTGTGGTACAATAGTGAATAATTACTATCAGGACTGACTGTGAGGGTTGGAAATGTAAAGGTAGACATTTTGTAGCAAAAGGAGGGAGGTAGTTGACTTTGCAGTCTAGGAACAGAGGTCCCTGGGACCATCAAGGGAGAAAAGCGGAGTGTGGGACCCTACCCAGAGAAGCAGTGATGCCAGAGATGGAGGCAGAGATGATGATGTGGAGAGATGGAGCAGTTGGGAACTCGAGACCCAGAGAGGGAGAAGGGCTGTGTGCTGACGACCAGAGGGCAGGCTTGCAAGGTATATCCTTTGGTTGGTTGATGATGCATGGAGAGGATTGTAACTAGGGCAATGTAACGATATATGATAGATGAATGTAAAGTTAATGTTCTCCCATGTAAACTATCACATAATTCACAATAAAACAGTTTAAAAAAAAAAAAAATGGATGCCAGAAGAGATTCTGAAACTAACTTTCCAGCATCGAGATGCCAAAGCAAATAGGAAGTCAAAAAGTGGAACAGAAATTTTCAAAGGATAGCTTGAGAAGACAATGTTAAGTATTATAATGAAATGTGCAAAGACCTGGAATTAGAAAACAAGAAGGGAAGAACACACTCAGCATTTCTCAAGCTGAAAAACTGAAGGAATAATTCAAGCCTTGACTTGCAATACTGAAAGATTCAATGGGCAAAGTACTGAATAACATAGAAAGGATTAAAAGAAGATGGAAGGAATACACAGAGTCATTTACCAAAAAGAAATGGTCAATGTTCAGCCTTTTCAAGAGGTAGCATATGATCAAGAACCAATGGTACTGAAGGAAGAAGTCCAAGGTACACTGAAGGTATTGTCAAAAAACAAGGCCCCAGGAATTGATGGAATACAAGTTGAAATCTTTCAATGAATTGATGCAGCACTGGATGTGCTCATTCATCTATGCCAATCAGCTAATTGGCCAACTGATTGGAAGATATACATATTTGTATGAATTCCAAAGAGAAGTGACCCAAGAGAACGCAGAAATGATCGAATAATATCATTAATATCATGTGTAAGTAAAATTTTGTTGAATATAATTCAAAAACAGCTGCCACAGGACACTGACAGGGAACTTTCAGAAACTCAAGCTGGATTCAGAAGAGGACGTGGAACTAGGAATATCATTACTGACATCAGATGGATCTTGACTGAAAGCTGAGAACACCAGGAAGATGTTTACTTGTGCTTTATTGACCATGAAAAGGCCTTTGACAAGCTATGGCTAACACTGAGAAGATCAGTGTCTGGAGACAGACATTATGCTTGGTGAAGTGGAGGGTCAATGAAAAAGAGGAAGACTGGCCACCAAAGAAATGGATTGGCACAGATGGCTGCAACAATGGGCTCAACTGTAACAATTTTGAGGATGGCGTAGGACCAGGAAGTGTTTCGTTCTGATGTGCACAGGCTCGCTATGAGTCAGAGTTGACTTGACTATACATAATAACAACATGCTTTAAAACAAAAAGTGTGAGTGTCCGGGTTGTATCCCTTTCACCATACTTATTTAGTCTATGTATTGAACAAATACTCTGATAAGCAGGCCACAGCATCAGGACTAGAGGAAGATTTATTAACATCCTGTGATATGCAGATGACACAACCTTGTTTGCTGAAAGCAAAGAGGACTTGAAGCACTTACTAATGAAGATCAAAGAATACAACCTTCAGTGTGGATTATTACTGCAACATAAACAGAAGTCTTCAAAGATGGATAAATAAACAATATCATGATAAGCAGAGAAAAGACTAAAGTTGTAAGGATTCCATTTTATTTGGACCCATAATCAATACCTATGAAAGCAGTCATCAAGAAATCAAACAACATGTTGCCTAGTGCAAAAGACCTCTTTAAAAGTGTTAGAAAGTATAGATTCATCATGAGCACAATTAGGTGTTCTGGAATACCTGTTCTTTGTAACATTATCCAGTTTGTTATGATCCATACAGTTGAATGCCTTTGCACAGTCAATAAAGCACAAGTAAACATAAAAAAAAAAAAAAATGTGTTAGAAAGTACAGATGTCACTTTGGAGACTAAGGTGCATATGACCCAATCCTTGGTATTTTCAATCACCTCATATGCACGTGAAAGCTGGACAATGAATAAAGAAGATCAGAGAAGAATTGTTACATTTTAATTATGGAATTGGTGAAAAATATTGAAAATACTATGAACTGCCAGAAGAACAAACAAACAGTCTCAGAAGAAGTACAGCCAGAATGCCCCTTACAAACAAGGTTGGAGATACTTGGTCTCACATACTTCGGACATTTTGTCAGGAGAGACCAGTCCCTGGAGAAAAACATCAAGCTTGGTAAATAGTCAGCAAAAAAGTGGAAGACCTCCAATGCAATGCACTGACACAGTAGTCTGCAATAATACTGAAGGAAGAAGTCCAGGGTGGAGAAGAAGTCCAGAAACTGAGGGCACTGGCAAAGAAGAAGGCTCTGGGAATTGATGGAATATAAATTGAAATCTTTTAACAAACTGATGCAGCACTGGTGGTACTCATGCCAAGACATTTGGAAGACAGATAGCTACCTGATCAACTGATTGGAAGAGATCCATATTTGCACCCATTTCCAAGAGAGGTGACCTAACGGAGTGTGGAAATCATTGGAAAATATCACTAATATCACATGCAAGTAAAATTTTGCTGAAGATAATTTAAAATCAGCTGCAATAGTACATTGACAGAGAACTGCTGGAGGTTCAAGCTGTATTCAGGTGAGGATGTGGGACAAGGGTTATCGTTGCTGATGTCATATGGATCTTGGCTGAGAGCAGAGAATACCAGAAAGATGATTACCTGTGCTTTACTGACTATGCAAAGGCT